GATCATTTATGTGACTTGGGTAGATGGAAGTTTACTTGTGTATGCATAAGTTTTTCTTTACCCTTAGCCTTTTACCAAAACTCATTCTATATTCATGAGAGATCTGTTGCATATCCATTTAGCCAGTTCGAATTTGATGAAATCATTTTAGTCTCATAACCTTGTCTTTAGCCAAATGAAACACCTTATTTGCATAAGCATGATTCACTTGGTTACACTTAATTGAATGTTAAAAATGTTGATTGATGTGATTGCTTGTGTAGACTAGGGCTTGCGTGCTTGGGATGGATGTGGCTAGATTTTTAGAGTAGAACAAGATTGTGAGCATTTTAGAATTGATAACTAGGATGTTGAGCACAATTTTTCCTTTGGCATTTTAGGTTGTGAACTCCCAACTTCAAACCCTATTCCCTTGTTTATCCTTGTTTGCTTGAGACCAAGCAAAAGACAAGTGTGTAGATGTTGATAGCCTGCATATTTACAGCATCTAGGCATACATAATCATATGAGTCTCTTTCATGCATAAACTCACATTTTAGGTCCTCTTTGCATTCATATTAGAGTTAGCTTGTGTCTAGGTATGTATTGCATGTTTTGTTGCATTTGGAGGTGTTATCTAAGTACTATGGAGGCTAAGGAGGCTTGCTATCAACTAGAGTTCGAGTGGATGCATGAAGAAGAGCTTAAGGGAAGCAAAGCAAAGGAGAAAACTCGCTCCGACGTGTTGCACCTGCTACACTACCATGGAGCAAGATGGCCAGCACTTTCAGGAGAGTACAGCAGAATATCACACCAGCTTGTACTCCTCGATGTGAAAAAATCTGAAGATTTGAGAGATCACACCGAACATTTACCCCGGTGTCCATACCTTCATGCAAAAGGAGCATCAATTTTCACCAATCCACACTAGACCACTAATAATTCAACCTAACTTCCACACTTAAAATAAAAGCACACTAGTGTGTCATACCAACGACTTACCTAGTCTAACTTCTTTTCACCTAACTTTAATTTTGATGATATTCTCATCAAATTTTTCTCAAATAAAAATAAAAAAAATATTAGAATGTTCCTTTTTTGATATATTAAATTTTTCACTTATTTAACTTATCAAATAATCGTTAAAATTTGATTATAATTTCAAATTTTAGATTTAATATGGATATAGAGTTAATTCATCTAAAATAAATTCCCATAAATTATTACTTGTAAACCAGAAAATTTGAATTAAAATATTTACTAGAAAAAATCACAAATTCAAACTAAGAGAGTCTTATATAACATATATTTTTTTATCTCGTGTTATTTAGAAGAACAACAACTCTAAACTAGGAAAATCTTATATAAAATCTTATTTTCAAAAAAAAAAAAAACTTATATAAAAATCCTACGAACACTTGAAAATCTCAACTGACAATATTTTTTTAACAAAGCATCGTAGTTTCGGCACGCATACAAACAACAACAAAAAATATTAATTTGGTACAAAAGTACAATCAATCAATTTTAGTCCTTCAGATTTTTAAAGAATATACTTCGGCAAGGACATGTGCTTGTATGCTTGACACGTGAACTGAACCAAACCCACAATAGAATGTAGATAACTAGATATGGATGAAATGTTGGTTTAAACCTAAAACCACTCGAGATTCCTTCTTCATTGCTTCAGACTGCGCTTTCAGTCTTCGCTTATTAGTATTACCAATATTTTTTAATTCTTATGTTCGGGAATTTATTGACAACAGACAAATTAAATCATTTCCCTGAAAAAAAAGAAGAAGACATTAAAGCAACTTTCATAATCATTTACATCAAGGAGTACTCCAGTAACTCCACTATCATTGATTTATGCAAGCAAAGTCATAACTTTTTTGACGATGGACAACATGTTCAACTATAAGTCTTCCCTAAAGACTAATTCAAATTCAGTTTATCAAATACTCAAAAGTAAGAAAGCCAAAGACCACGACGACGACAAAACTCATGCACGTTTTGTCGAGAGAGAGTTTTTCCAATACTCGTGAGTTCTTCAAAGAGTGATTTCAATGAATTTCAATAACTTAAACTCGAGTAATATTAAAATAAAAATTAGAAACGGGAAAAAACTGAAAAGGATTAAGCAAAAAAAAAAAACTGAAAAGGCAAAGGATGAAAAATTGAAAATGAATGGGTCAACAATAGAATTTATGAGTAGTTGAGTTGCAAACCAAATTAAACGTCTGTCTTTAATGGTTCAACGGTTGAACTTTTATCTCTCACCCTTTGACAGATGCATGTTGACTTTACATTTATATTCAATCTGAATTTCAGCTCAGTTTTTTTGTTTCATCTGGATTATTATTTTTATTTGAAATTATGAGAATAATCTGCCCTACGCGTAGCTATGTGATTCATTTTTATATATTTTGTATTAAATTTATTGTATTGTATATTTTTGAGAATTTTAAAATGAATTTCTATTTTCTCACATTTATTTCTCTCGAATTTTTTATCTTTTTCAAAATTCTAGTTTGTGATTCGCGCAACACTGGAATTTTATTATCATTTTATGAATTTTTTATATTATATTTATTATATCATATAGTTTTAGACATTTTGTGATTGTTATTTTTGTTCAATGTACCCATCTTGAATTTCTTCTCTTATCTCAATTTCGATCAAATATTATCTATTCTACGATTATTTGGTTTATTTTAAACAGATAAGAAAAGAGAACATATATGCTATTACATATCCAAATTATCCATTTAAGAATTAAAATTTTAAAATTCTATAGTTTCTTTTAAATTTCCTCAATTTTCCGGAATTTACCCAAAATATTTTTCTGAAGTTGATTTTCATCCAAATTATTGAGAACTTGTGAAAAGATTTTAGATAATGCAATTTCTCGAACCCGTTTTGTTACCTGAATTTCCTGTTCTATTTTTATTAGATTTCTTTTGGAAATTATTTTTCGTCTTTATAATTACCAATTCATATCACTTTTAAATTTCCGCTTTTAACCATGAAATACTGAAAGCTAATGTATATCATTTTTTGTATTTTGTTGATTTTTTATTTTCTGACAACACATTATAATTTAATGTTTTATGTTTGCTATTTTTTTATATTGAATGTTAATGTTAATTTTTATTATTTTCCGTCTTTCTAATTATCAATGCCCATCGCACACTCGTAAATTTTCGCCTTGAATCTTGAAATAGTCAGAGCTACTGTATATCATTATTTATTAGTTTTTATATTATTTTTATATTGTACTTTGTTGAGTTTTTGAATTTTCTGACAACACATTATAATTTTTTTTGTGTGCTATTTTTATATTGAATGTTAATATTAATTTTTATTATTTTTCATCTTTCTAATTACCAATTTCTATTACACACTAGTAAATTTATGCTTTGAATATTGAAATACTAATGTATATCACTATATCTTTTATATTTTTGTTGATCTTTTATTTTCTGACAACATATTATAATTATCTTTTTATGTTTACTATTTTTTTATATTGAATGTTAATATTAATTTTTATTATTTTTTATCTTTCTAATTACCAATTCCCGTCACATACTCATAAGTTTTCGTCTTGAATCATGAAATACTCAGAGCTAATGTATATCATTGTTTTTTGGTTTTGCTATTTTGTATTTTTTTTTATTTTTATTTTCTGACAACACATTATAATTGTCTTTTTATGTTTGTTATTTTTTTATATTGAGTATTAATGTTAATATTTTGTGTTTTCCATTTTTCTAATTACTAATTCTCATCACACACTCGTAAATTTTTACCTTGAATCTTGAAATATTCAAACTTAATGTAAATAATGATCTTTTGGTTTTATTTTCTGGCAACATATTGTAATTGTCTTTTTCTCTTTTTCTATTTTTATATTGAATGTTAATGTTATTTTGTGTTTAAAAGAATTTAAATGAAAAACTGTTCTGAGGTGACAATACCAGAAGAGAGAAAAGCTTACTTTATCTATATAGATATTTTTTTATAGTGAATGGTAATATTAATTTTTATTATTTTCTATCTTTCTAATTACCAATTCACGTCACACACTCGTAAATTTCTGTTTTGAATCATATAATACTCAGAGTTTATGTATATCATTATTTTTTTTGTTTTGTTATTTTGTATTTTTTTATTTTTATTTTCTGATAAAACCTTATAATTGTCTTTTTATGTTTATTATTTTTTATATTGAATATTAATATTAATTTTTATTGTTTTCTGTCTTTCTAATTATTAATTCTCATCACAAACTCGTAAATTTTTGCTTTGAAACTTGAAATATTTCAAAGCTAATGTATATAATGATTTTTTTTTTTTTTTCTGACAATATATTGTAACTGTCTTTTTATTACTTCAAACTTTTATATAGAATATAAATGTTATTTTGTATTTTAAAAGAATTTAAATAAAAAATAATTAATAATGTTAAGGTAACAACACTCTTACTTTTTATATATATAGATAAACATTATTGAATAACGCATATTTCTTCCCACACTACGAGATCCATGGCCATGATCATCTCTATTTGACTATTTCTACAGTTTTATTAGTTTGATTTCTTTTTAGGTTTATGGGTTTCCAGTTTTCATTTTTTAGTAGCAGCTACAAAATCTAATATGGTAATTTGATAATTGATTGTTACATTTGGATTTTAAACAAATATGTTATTCACTCTGTTTCATAAAGAGTACCATTTTATATTTTTTCAAAAAAACAAAACTTTTAAAAACTCTATTTTATCCTTATTAATACACTAAATACAGGTCTCTCTCTAACTAATACATTCAAATGTAACCAAGTCAAAACAAGGTTTTCTTCTAATTTTTTTCTGTCAACAGATTTTCTTCTAATTATGCTTTAAAAACATAAAATAACAAAAAAAATCAAAAACATTAAACAAAATGCTCGGATCAATCTTTTACTTTTTTCAAAAACGTGATTGGTTGGTTTCAGATCGAATCAGTTTCGTTGGAAACCACCTAAGGTCCTAAACCAACCAATTCTATCAACTAAAAAACATTGAAATAAACCTGACACACTCCATGCCCAATGATCTCTGCAAGATAAGATCTTTTGTTTTACGGATATAATAGCATTGCATTTAATAAGCAGTTTCACCCATTATCAGAGCAGGCAAGAGCAGAAACGCAACACATACACAAAAGTTGTAAAAACCAAATTAATATTCATAATCTAGCGCCAATGAGGCCTGTTTGATAGATTCTAACCGCAACAGAGCTTTTCAAGCGCCACATTCTCATCTCCACCACTAGATTCAATTGCACTCCTAACCTGAGCATCACCAAAACCCATCTCCACAAGTCTCTTCACCTGCCACAAAATCAAATCGAATACCAACCTTTTAATACACAAATCAAACATTGCATTTCAACTAAAAAACCGTTCTAAATTCATTTCAACAACTCACTTTTTCCTCTAGAGACGAGTTCTTCGCGAATGTTTCGGTCCAGTAACGAGCTGTTGATACAAACACTTGATAGTTCTTCATGTACTGTAAACATCACAAGAGCAGCAGAAATTTCTTTTAAGTGACTAGTAAAAAAAGTGGAAAAACCGAAGATGATTAAGGTATAATGTAGTAGAAACCTGTTCAGCTACAACAGCATCTTGAGGATCTTTGGGCTCTGGTGCAGAGAGTAAAGCCTGGACTGAAACAAGAGCTGTCTTCAAAGTCAGAGCTGGACTCCACTGATCTTTCAGAACATCCAAGCATATTGCACCGCTTTGGCTACTTATATTCGGGTGCCTTAGAAGAATCAACGAAGATATATAGACTCTAGATTAGCACACAATGCATTGCTCATATATTCTTATAACTTAATAGAGCATTTACATACTAATATACGCAAAAACTGTAATGTGAAATGTATGAAAAGAGAACCTTTAAACAATTAAACTTCTGATAAGAGATAAGAGATTATCAAATCATCAACAGTTTCAACACCCTAAAGAAAATGTAAAATGATACAACCAAAACATTTACCCCATAACCGAGATTAAAGTGTTATGCATAGCAATGATTCAATCTCCATGATAGCCTTAAGTTCTTGCATTGATCAATCTCAATAAGTACATTAAAGATACATTAGTTACAGTAATTGGTACAGGAATCAGAGTCATTTCTTACCAAACTTTGGTTGAAAATTGCATCTTTGGAGGCTCGAAAGGATACCCTTCTGCAATTTGAGAAAAAAAAAACGATAAATTAATAAACGATTGATTATATAAATTACCACAATAGGGATCATAGACCCATAAACCCTAAAATTTGAACTCCTAAACACACTAGCGAAAATCGAAATAAGAATTTCACTTTCCGCACACAAAATTCAACAAACCCAATTCAATCAAGTGAATCCCCAAACTTCATCTTTAATAATTAAAGCGCAATTAAACAAGAAGTCGTGAGAACCTGGGATCGTGATATCGATCTGAAAAGTGCCGCCTTCGTAAGGAGTTCCGGTTGGACCAGGGATGGTTCCGGTGAGTCGGGTTAAGTTATCGGATTTCGGGCAGACCCGGATACCCGATGAATCCTTGTCCTTCTCGCAATCTTGGAGCTCCTTTTGGACTCGACTGAAATCTATCATCTTCGAGGAGTGGAGAGATCTGATGGGAATGCGCAAACAAAGAATTGAACAAAAACCCTTTGATAAAGATAAGATTTTTAATGTAGCGAGATGGTTCGTGAATTAAAGGAGTTTCCTTTCTTGTATCTGAAGGGGATTATCGAACAGACACTTTCTTTCTCCCTTTTTTGTAATTTTCTCTCTGTTTTCTCGCAAGTTTTCCTTCCCTACACTCAATTAAGAAAGAGAAACTAAACCGATGCTAAAAAAGAAACGAAAAAAAAACTAAACCGAAAGTAAAATCGATTTCTATTGTGGTTATCGGTTTGGAATCTGACTTAGTTAATGAAACTTGCAATTTACACTCAAATTTACAAATCAAAATAGTTAAGAAATTTACTTTGCAAGCTGGTTTGGCATAGGAACATGAATAGAAGTAGTACTTGGAATCAATGAAACCACACCGAACCGAACCACATTGGAAGTTTAATGGTAGAGAGATCTGATGGAAAATGCCCAAAACAAAGTATTAAACAAAAACCCTTGACAAAGATAAGACAAAAAAATAAAAAAATTGGAAGTTTAATTTCGGTTAATTATAGATATCTGATTTTTTTTTTTTAACATTTTAGATATCACTAGAAGATAACCTAAAAGTGAATAGATACTTGTGATAAAATAATTTATTTGAAAATATTAGTTACTAGATTAGGACATGCATGTAAAAATTATATAAAAAATTATTATTAAAAATATCTAAACATTATTGCATAATTATGATCTAAGCATTTGCTTCCGGTTGATGATATCAAGAGTTCGTTGCATAAATATTTCTCTTCATGTAGAGAGAGGTCAGGGATGTAATGGTGGTTCCTAGAGAAGAATGGGCTGGTCGCAACAGGTTTGTGGCTTCTTCCCTACAATTTGTGACAAACCGGTCTCAAGTAGTTCGACTTTCGGGTCTAAGGATTACGGGTTTTAGACACAAGAATGGTAACCAAAAATTATAAGAGCAAAGAGCTAAAATGCCACTTTGGGAGAAAAATTGATCTAGACTGTCATCCAATAATCTAATGCCACTCTCTCATTTAAATGAGATGTGATATTACAAATCAATCCTTAGTCAAAGTTACTGAAACTAACCAAATAAAAATAAATTAGTAAAAGTAAAAGAAGTAAAAGAAGTAAAAGTAAATAAAAATAAAATTTGAAAAAAAAAAAAAATTGAATCTCGATCCCCCGCAACCTTGCTGAGCTCGAGCTCCTCCTCTCTCTTCTCACCCGGGCTCTCTTCTGATTTCCAAGCTCCTTTCCTGAGCTTCTTCTTCCGTCATCCTTTTCGTCCAACGTAGATCGACGCTTTCTCCACTTCGTCCGACCCAGAATTCCAGTCATCTTTCTGCCATTATTGAAGATCTCATATTTTGAAGGTGATTTCTTCTATTTCAATTAGTGTAAAATTAGGGCTTTAGATTTGAAAAATTAGGGATCTGGGTTGGTAACAATGTATTGTGGATATAATAAGCCATAGGTTCGGTAATTTGTGAGAAGAATGTAGTTATGTTAATCAGATTCATATGCAGAACAACGAAAGTCGAGCTCGAAATTCCCAGACTTTTGATAGGAAAAATGGTACAACTGGTACAACTGAGAGCGAACTGGAACAACTGAAAACTTAAGTTCAACTGGTACAAATGAGAGCTATAGTTCAACTGGTACAACTGAGTTCAATTTAGTTCAATTGAGTTCAACCAGTACAAATGAAAGGTGTTGTTCAACTGGTACAACTGAGTTCACTTTAGTTCAACTGATTTCAACTAGTATAACTGGTACGTGAGGTATAGCTGCACTGGTACAACTGAGTTAAATTGGGTTCAACTGGTACATGTGGTACAAATGAGAGGTGTAGTTTAACTGGTACAACTGAGTTCAATGTAGTTCAATTGAGTTCAACTGGTATAACTGTGGTACTTTGTGTTCAATTGAGTTCAACTGATCGACTATTTTCATTATATTTTCAGGATAGCGTGAGCACCAACCACACAAACATATATTTTGACTATGGAGGGATTTATTCACGTGACGGAGGGGAGTTGAAATAGTTTACAAGTAATTCCACCTATGCTATACCATTTAGGAACTTATCTGTGGAAGAGATAACTTACTCGGCATTAGTAGATAAGATATGCAATAAGATTGGGATATATAGAGCTAATGCACACCTGAAATTGAGTTACATTTCGTTGGTAAATAAACCGATCAACGAGACAAAATTTTTTGTTGATGATGACGTATATGCTTATCTAACAACGGTGGATAACGAGGGGCTAAGATCTGTTTTGCATGTGGAGGTAGTCAAAGGTTTAGAAATAAATTCAGTTTCTAAAGCGGGTAGGAGTGAGCAAGCTTCCAAAGTGGGTAGTTCATTTGGTGTGAATTATGAGGAGCCGGTTGCAAATGGTAGAGCTGATAATGATGTTTGTAATGCGGTTACTATTTATAGAGCAGTCTCGGAAAGAGAAGAACATAGGGAGCTGATTATTGAGGAGGTAACAGAGAACGATGGTAATGAATTTACTGATGAGGATATGGAGAACGGTTTCGATGGTATGCATGAATATGTTGAGCTTCCAGGTTTTGCAGAAGTTAGTCAGTGTGTTGAAGAATGGGAAAATGGTACATGTCTTGAAATTGGTCAAGAATTTTGTTCTAAGGAGGCAGTGCAAGATTTGGTTGACAGAGCTGCACATAAGAACTGTTTTGGGGTCCATACTTATAAGTCAGATACAAGGCGACTTATTCTAGAATGCCGTCAGAAGAATCAAGGCTGTAAATGGTATTTACGAGCTGCAAGGTTTAAGAAATCAGATTATTTTAGTGTTAGAGTATACAGAAAGATGCATACATGCTCTCGGGCCGTTGAGAGTACAAGCACTAGTAGAAGGAGAGGCACCCCACGACTAGTAGCATCTGTTTTGCAGCAAGACTATCCGGGTCAATTTGACACCCCAGTTCCCAAAAATATCGTGAATCTGGTTCAGAGTAGAGCTGGTGTTAGTTTGTCCTACTCTACCGCCTTAAGAAGAAAAAAAACTAGTTGTTAGTGATGTGCGGGGCACTCCTGAAGAAGGTTTTAGGATGTAATACTCTTATTTGTACATGCTGGAGAAGGTAAATCCTGGAACCATAACAAGTGTGGAATTGGATGCAGAGAAAAAGTTCAAGTACCTATTCATTGCTTTGGGCGCTAGCATTGAAGGGTTTCAAGCAATGAGGAAAGTGATAGTTGTGGATGCAACATTTCTGAAGACTGTATATGGTGGACAGCTTGTCTTTGCCACAGCTCAGGATCCTAATCATCACTATTACCCCATTGCTTTTGGTGTAATTGATACTGAGAAGCATGATAGCTGGATGTGGTTTTTCGAGAAGCTGAAAATTGTTATACCTGATGATCCTGAATTGGTTTTTATGAGTGACAGACATAAAAACATCATAAATGCAGTAGCGAAGGTGTATCCCCACTCCGAACATGGACATTGTATATGACATTTGTCTCAAAACGTGAGAGGTAAAGTTCAGCATAAGGTGAACAAAGATCTAGTGGCGGCAAAATTTATCCAATGCGCTCATATTTATACTGTGAGTGAGTTCGAAAGGGAGTATGCTGATTTTAAGAAGAGGTTTCCTGCAGCTGCTGTGTATTTGCATGAGACTGTACCGTTGGATAAGTAGGCAAAGTGCTACTTTAAAGGAGACAAGTACAATTTAGACACCAGCAATTCTTGTGAATCTCTCAACAGTGTGTTTAAGAAAGTAAGGAAGTACTCTCTCTTACCAATGATTGATGCGATTGTTGAGAAAATGGCATATTGGTTTAACAAGCATAGGAAGACTGCTGCTGATATGCCGATGTCAAAGAAAGTGGTGCCTTATGTGGATATCAAATTGCATGAACTATGTCTAATTGCTGCTCGTTTAGCTGTGGCTGAGCTAAACAGCTTCCAACTCGAATACACAGTTATTGGACTCGATGGGATGGCTTACTTGGTGGATTTGTCGAGCAAAACTTGCTCTTGCAGAGGGTTGGATATAGACAAGTATCCTTGTGTTCATGTAATCGCCGCAGCCGCAGCACTGATGAAGAAGGGAGGGAGAACAGTGGATATTAGTCTATACGACTTATGCTCTAGATATTACTTGATTGATACGTGGGCATTGACATACTACAAGACGATTTATCCAGTGACGAATGAGTCTTGTTGGAGTATTCCAGAGGAAATACTAAATAAGTTTGTTTTACCGCCTGATTACACCAAAACGCCAGGAAGAAATCAAGAAAACCGCTTTTCATCCACTGGGGAACGTCGCAGGAAGACAAGTAACAGGTCTGTGTCTGGCAGAGGTTTCGCTTTCTATTTTCAGAGCAGCCCAAGTGGCAGCTCAGTTTGATTTATGTGTGTGTTTTGTAATTTTCGGTTTTGAACAACCATGTTAGACTATGTACAACTATGAATCTTTCTGTGTTTGAGTTTGGTGAATTTGTATGACCAGGTTTAACTAGGTACAAGTATAAACAATTATGAAGTTTATTTTGTCAAATTCGCACTTTCAGGTTCAACTGGGTACAACTATTAACGTTTACGTGTTGCCATTCGCACTACCAAGTTCAACTGGGTTCACGTATAACTACCAAGTTCAACTGGTTTCACGTATAACTACCAAGTTCAACTGAGTAAAACTATTAACGTTGACGTGTTTGTGCAACTAGGTGCAACTGGGTACAACTAATATCAACTTTTGAAGTGCAATAAACTATTATTAAAGCTTCAAGTGATGTGAATATACCAATTAAGACCTATCAACACATTTTTAACTATAAGGAAACAATTACTTATATGGTAAACATTAATTTTTTATTTTTATACAAAATCATGTTTTCACATCAACCACCCCTTACAATGTAAGGAAGACATCAACAATGTTAAGCCTTTTAGGACTGAAAAACCTAAAATATTTAATATTTCATATATTGCAGTATAAAAACGTTATAAATGATGTTTAATGGTCCAAAGTCATTTATACAACTACAATATAATAGTTTAGAGGAAGGTTCAACTAGAAATACAATAAAATCGTAAAAGTACAACTATTAAGAATTTGGTTCAACTACTTCCTTGGGGACAACTAAGTCAGTCGAACCTTGTAATTCAGTTGTACCTAGTTAAACTTACTCAGTCGAACTTTAAAAACCCAGTTGTACTTTAAGAAACCAACTAAATCCAAGTACACACCAACAACA